ACAGGCAAGGGGCCACAGAATGCAAACTTGTATCCAACAGAGACCCCCCCCCAAGTCACAAGCAGCTGACACTGACCAAAGGTCAATGAGGCCTTAGGACATGGCACCACTCTCAGACAGAGAGAAAAGTCAAGTACTTAACTGCTATGTTTCCCCAACAATTATTAGATATATGAGGAAGTGAGGAAACAAAGGAGGGAGGGAGGGAGGGACAGTGGTCATTGAATCCAAAGACTAGGTCTGAGTCCCAATTTCAATACTTACTAGCTACATGACCCTGGACACGTGATTTAACTTCTTTGTGCATGTTTTCTGATTTATTTAAACTGGTAAAACAGCACTTAGGCTACCAGCCTTGTGGAGCAGCGCAGAAATGTGAGCTGTTCTCTCTCTATTTCATGAGAATTCATCCTGCCTAACTAAAAAGACTTTGAGCTCCTTGAGGCCAGGAACCCAGTCATCCCTGTTCTCTAGCACAGGGCTGGGCATATCAATGAACTAACTGTACAAGTCATTTGGCAACCACATACTATACTGCCTACCTTAGGATGTGCCTTCCCCCTTGTTGTCTTATATGTTATGTCTTTGTACTATTATTTAGCTTTTCAATTTACTTATCTTCTATCTCATGTTTGCTCCATGAGGATAGGATCCAGCTCTTATGGGTCTTTGTACTATCCCCAGCATGTAAACACAATGCCAATACATACAATCTAATATAAGTAGATAGATAGATAGATAGATAGATAGATATGTATATGTGTATGTATGTACGTGTGTGTGTATGTATGTATGTACATATGAGGAGAGAGAAGAGGCATTAACTACTAGTGGGAGCAGGAAAGAAGGCACATGATCTGAGCCTCGAAAGAAGCAAGAGATTCTAAGAGGCATATGTGGGGACAGAGAACAACACCCTAGGCCTGGAGGACAATCAAATTTGGAGAACACAAATAGGCCAGAGTGGCTGGGACAGAGCACAGTAGGCATACAACAAGTGTTTAGTGATTTGATATAGGTTTCAACTAGTTAATTTCCTAGATATTCAGACTTCACCAGGACTGGGTAAGGCTCTTAAGAGGGCCATGATAGAAAAGGTACCAAATGGTCCATCTTACAACTTGACCTTAGTTTAAAAGAAAAAACAAAACTATAAAATTATCTTTGGTTTTTGAGGTACACACAAGAAAACCAATCTCATTATGGTTAAGTCACACCTCATTTATGAACCCAATCTGTACAGTCCCAGCTTGATTATTAAGCCTTATTCACTAGATGACATCAAATAACTTTTGACCATTTAAAAAAAAAATCAAACTTCTCTTCAAAGGGTGAATATTTGCCATTCAGGTTAATTTTATAGAACAAGCCATAAACTCTAAAGGTAATTCTCAACAAAGAATGCTCCCCATCCCACCCCGCCTTCCATCACCCCCAAACTGAACAATGGCATTCTCATTGGGTTGACAGTAGTAACTATTTGTCAGAATTCTGCCCTGTTTCTTACAATCAACCTCCTTATTTTGCAGTTATGCTTTGCACAGTTTATTTCTCAATTTATAAAAGAGAGAATCATGTGACTAGATTCCAGAAAAATTCTCCTCTCTCCAGGTTCATGATTTTTGAGAAAACTCCAGGGAAAACTGCCCACAGCAAGTTAAAACCAGATCAGCCATAAACTACCTCCTGGTGTGTGGCCTCTCCAGGACTCCTCAGACTCAGATTACTCATTAAATATGTGATAAATATTCAGCTTAAATAAACAGGAAACAAAAGGGGAAAAAACTGATTTTTTGAGGGGGGAGGAAGAAAATTTTAATCCACATGCGTACATAAGGGGATGAAAATCCAAGCTGGTCCTATCCCTACAATTTGGTAATGCTAAGGGAAAAAAAAATGTGTTGCTGCTAGGACTCAGGAATTTCTCAAATTTCATCAAGGAAAATAAAATGTAAGTAATGCAAAATAATCCATGATCTAATTAAATGTAACATGCTCACCATGAAGTAAACATCGTTACAAGAAAAGGGGGTTGGCTGCATAGAGTCTAGAAAAGGGAAGATTTAGATAGAAACAGACAAAAAATGAAAACAAACTCATTTCTTGGTAGCCCTCTTTCCACTTCCATAGTTTGGGCATGGAAAAAGGGGGCAGAGTGCTAAAAATCATCCATATCTATAGACTGATTTCACGGTAGATACTCCAAATGTGAACTCTTTGTCCAAAAGCCAATGAGCTGATAAGCTAGTCAACAAGCATTCATTAAAGGTAATGTCAGGTACTGTGCTAAGTACTATTGGAGGAGGAATAGTTGAATCCTATAAACAGAGGAAGTCCTCCAACATGCTATGAGATGGGAGAATTTATGGAGGCCATGAACAAGAAGAATCCATAGGATCATCAATTTCAAGATGGAATGGACCTTGGAGCCATCTAGGCAAGGCCACCCATTTCAGAGATGAGGAAACTGAGGTCCAGAGTGATTAAGTAACTTTCCAAGGTCACATAAGCATTGGGTAAGCAGAATTAGCTGCTGAATGCAGATGAGATACATAAGATAAGAAGGTGTGGATGGATTACAAGCTATTCTAGCAGGGAAGTACCCACATTGATGAACTGATGGATCAATGAAATATTGAAACTTCCCACATTGCATGAGGAGTAGGGGAAGAAGTGAAGAGTACTTTTATTCTAGCCAGAAATATCCTTGGATTGAGAAAGGGTTATCTCTCAGGATCCCACAATACTTTTGCCCCAACTACAGAGTTAGTTACTAAAAGCAATCCTTTAAACTGTGATTTAGTTTCCTGAGCAGACCTACATCCACAAAAAGGAAGGGGGTTTTGTGCAGGCAATTCTAACCATTAGACATCTTGCCAAATACAACTCCCCATTACAAACCAATTCTGGTTTATCACTAAGTCTTTTCAGGGTCTAGTTAGCATGCAGTAATTCCCCACTGCTTGACTCACTCCTTGGATGTACTGATAAAAACAGGTTCTTGAACCTGCAAAGCTGAGGACCAGACCCCTAAAACTGAAGGAACCCTACCATGAAGACAAATACACCATGAAACCTAGCCTGAACACTGCTCTGTGTGTGTGTGTGTGTGTGTGTGTGTGTGTGTGTGTGTGAGAGAGAGAGAGAGAGAGAGAGAGAGAGAGAGAGAGAGAGACTCTTAAATCTTGGCCACTATATCATAAACTCCCCCAAACAGCAAGTCCTGGACCACAGCCTGAAGTATTTAGTAGCCACAGGAATTGGGGGTGGGGGGTGGGAGCAGCCAAGACAGGACACAAATCCCCCTTTCCACTAGGACACATTAGATAAACTACCCAGTTCTTATTATTACAAGACCAGTGACTCAAGTAGTAGAGAAGACTGGACTTAGAGAGAAAACAAGGAAGTATATCTTCTTGCAAAAGGAAAAAAAAAGAAAAATGAGCAAAGATTTCAAGGCTTACAACCGCATGAGTAAAACAACAGCAATAAAGTCCTATGGCAGGAAAACTGATGACTACTCAGTGGGTGGTATTCTGAATAGTTGGGAAGATGGAGAGGGCAAAGTAAAGGGTCACAGATACCCAGACCTCATCAGGAGACATCATAGCCCAAGTGAAGGAACAAAATTTATACTGCCATTTGTTTAAAAAAAAAAAAGTCACTTCATTTCTCTAGGTTTCCATTTCCTTATCTATAAATGTTAGATTACATGATCTCTAATATATCTTCCACTTTTAAAAATTCTCTATTTCCTGCCTGAAATGCCCATCTACCTCTCAGAAAATCCAAATCTTAACTTACCTCTTGACTCTTACCACTCCCTTCAAAGCACCCTAATAGCCAAATTGCTGTCTCCATGTCTTTGTTCATATTGTTCCCTAGGCCTGGAATGCCCTCTACCAGGCTCTTGGCCTGCTGAATCCTTCCTATCCATCCTTAAAAAATCAACTCAGATTTCCTAAAGCCATCTTTCCCTGATCCTCAACTCTGCCTCACTTTGGTGACAACTTCCCCTGCCTGACCCACAAAGCATTTTGTTTTCTAATATCTTAACACCTTCATGTAATGATGCAACTAATATGTCAGTGTTTGTATTCAATTCTCCTTCTACACTGGAATCTTCCTGAGGGCAGTCACTGTGGCTTATTTTTAATCTGAACCTTCCTCAGAGTCCTGTACAACTCTGTAAATTGGATGCTTAATACATGTTGGGGAGGCAGCTAGGTGGCACAGTGGATAGAGCACCAGCCCTGAAGTCAGGAGGACCTGAGTTCAAATCCGGCCTCAGACCAAACACTTGACACGTACTAGCTGTGTGACCTTGGGCAAGTCACTTAACCCTAACTGCCTCACCAAAAAAAAAAAAAAATACATGTTGGCAGAACAAATCTTTGAAAGCCCAGCTTACTCAGCCTTCCCTAAACTCTCTAGTCTTCACTATTCCTCCTCTTCTATAAAATCCAACAGCAGTCTGACTTTACAATTTACCCTTTGGTTATTGCTATAACTAATAATACTGACATATATATTAATTTTATATATATATATATATGGAGAGACAGACAGACTTAAAGGTTCAAAAAGTGCCTTATTCATAATAACCCTGAAAGCTAGATAACATAAATTCTACCTTCCTCTTTTTACCAATAGGAAAACTTGGCCTCAGAGAAGTATGGTCATACAACATATCTTTCAATAAGATGACATATCCTCATACCTTCATGCCATACTCCTGTACTCCAGTCTCTACCTCCCTACCTGGCATTCCCATGAAAGTTCACCATATGTAGCCTGATCCAGACCCACCATTTCCATCTTCCTGCATGCAGCCTAACCACTGTACCGAACCACCCCCTTTCCCATTTCCCACTGCCCCCGCCCCCAACCACACACATACCTTTTCTACCATTAGCTCTAAAAATAGTAATCAAGTCAATGCTACCATATTTGGAATAGCATGCCAATCAATTGTCCTATGGTGATTCCACCAGTCATACCATGGCCAGTCGTCTTGACCTTCGTCTTGCCACTGGACTCTGATGACTCTGGAGGAGAGAGTGAGGCGGATGACTTTGCCCAGTTCTACTTCACTCAAATCCAACTCATGCACAAGGACCAACAACAATGAGGGTCATCACCATTCGTCTTGACCTTTGTCTTGCCACTAGATCCAGATGACTCTGGAGGACAGTGTGAGGAAGACGACTTTGCACAGCTCTGCCTCACTCAAATCCAACTCATGAGCTAGCATTGGTACAAAAGAAAAGCAACAACAACCTGTGAGTTCCCCAACCAAAATACCTCTCCTCTGACCAACACTATCCTATATATGTTTTCTCCTCCTACTGGAATGTAAGATTCTTGAGGTCAGGGGCTGTGTTTTTGTATTTTGTAGCTCCAGCACTTAGCACAGGGCAGGACAGCTAGTAAGCACTTAAACTCTAACATTTCATTTCTCCTTCAGAACTTACATACACACTCCTCCTCAGTAGAAGTGTGAGATTACAGATGTGGTATATGCAATTAGAGTGGTCAAAGTATAAATTGGTTTTGCTTAAATTCTTTATAATAAGGTAAGTTGAGAGGGAGCTCCACCAAGTCAAGTCAAATGGCATGAAAACAAAAGACAAGAGCAAAATATACATATAAATAAATTGGTTAGGTGAGGCAGAATTTGAACCTAGATCTCATTAACTCCAAATCCACTACTCTTTCCATGTCCTGTGCTATGTGTTGCTGTTTCTTAGGTGTAAGTTTTATCTCACTAACTAGACTGTGAGCTCCCTTCTCTCAAGCTTCTAGGCCAGCAGGGGAGTCCAGCACTGGGCTGAGCACACAGTACATACTCAGAAATGACCTGCTGATATGCTTAAAACATCCAAAAATTTATTTCCCACTTGTACAAGAGTCAACCCTATAGCATGTGTCTCCTTTGGAGGTTTGGGGTGGCTGGGTCATTGGTTTGTTTATTGGCTTTTTTTTTTAAACAAGTTTTGTAGCTCTGTTTTAATGGGGTGGGGACTAGGCCATTTTTAGTCTGGTGGAAGAAAAAATACCAAGAAAGACAGCTCCAGAGAAGGAAAGAAAAAAGACAGAAGGAGCAGCAAGAGAAGAAATTATGCTTAAGGCAGAACTTACTTCAGTTTTAAAAGAAGTAATTACAGAGAGGAAAGAGTAGATGTTCTAAAAAAGGAGTTTACCCAAAAAAAAAAAAAGAAAGAAAAAGAAAGAAAAGAAAGGAAAGGAAAGGGGAAAAAAAGAGGCCGGAAAACAGTCAAAGTAGAAATCTTAGAAATTCTTATTGCAAAATAACTCCTGGTCAGCCAACCGCAATCTCTATAAATATCACAAGATCAACTCTTCAAGCACATGGTGGGGGGTTGGGGAAAGGAGTAGGGGGAGGGGGAAAGAAAGTCTTCAAGATTTTTAACAAAATTCAAAATTGCTCCTATCAAGAGCAGAGGGAAGGGGGGGGGGGGGGAGAGAAAGGAGTCACGATTTCCCTTGGAATGAAAGCTCCTAACAAAGAGAAGAAAACCAGGGGACTGCAAGGTCAACACGCCTCAGTTGATTCCTGCAGAGAAATTAGGAAAGCCGGAATATTTGCAAACTATTTGGTGACTGTTTTCCTTTCCTGAGTCTTTCAGGCTGCTTTTCAGAAAAACAGGACACAGGCTCCCTGAGAAGGTGGGTGGGGGTTGTAGTACCCCCAGGCTGGAAGAAATCTGGACATCATCCAGTCCAAATTTTTCATTTCACAGATCCAGAAACTGAGTTCTAGGTTAGCAAAGTGACTTCCCCAAGGTCACACAAGCTAAGTAGGAGCAGAGCCAGGATCAATCAGTCCTTGTTTTTTTTTGGGGGGGGGGGTTTCAACACCATTTTTCTAAGACAGGCAGGAAACCTCCACTTGAACAAACTGATTGCTTAAAGTCTTGAACCCAACAATTGGATTGACTGCAAACTCTCAGAGGGCAAGGATTTCTCTTGTTTATCCTAGTATATTCATTTGCAAGTCAAGACATCACCTGTAATACCATTGGTCCTCTTCAAAAACAAAGTATGCACAATAAAACAAGTAAACCATACTGTATACTCCCAGGTTTTCCCTTCCCTCATATATATGTACATATGAACTTCAAAATTTTATTGATGGCTTTTTGTTTTTATATCACTATCTTTCCAGTATATTCCTTCCCCTACCCTTATTCAGAGAAACATCCTTTAGAACAAGGGTTCTTCACCAAGTCTCTCCCCACTCCAATTCAATCCATCCTCCATTCAACCATTAAACAGATTTTCACCAAGTGCAAGTTCAACCATATCACCCTTCCCCCCAAACTCCCTCCTTCCCCCCACTCATTAAACTCCAGTGATTTCTTATTGTCTCCAGGAACAAATACAAAATCCTCTGTTTCAAAGTCCTTTATAACCCAGCTCCCTCCTACCTTTCCAGTCTTCTTATACCTTACTCCCCAATGTATATTCTTCAATCTAGTGACACTGGCCTTCTGGCTATTCCACTAACAAGATACTCCATCTCTTGGTTCCAGATATTTTCTCTGGCTGTCCCTCATGTCTCCCTCTTGCACTCAGACTACAACTTCCTGGACTTCCTTTAAGTCCCAACTAAAATCACACCTCCTACAGAAAGGCCTCCTAATTGTGATGCCTTCCCTCTTTTCATTATTTTCTATTTATTCTGCATTTCGCTTGCTTTATTTACATGTGGTCCTCTCCATTAGACTGTAAACTCCTTGAGGGTAGAGACTATCTTTTACCTCTTTTTGAATCCCAAATGCTTAGCACAGTACCTAGTACAAAGTACGTGCTTAATAAATATTGATTGATTTGATTGTGTCATGACCCCACTTGGCAGTATGCTGAAACCTAAAGACCCCTTCTAAGAATATTATTTTTAGGGGCAGCTAGGTGGCATAGTGGATAGAGAACTGGCCTTAGAGTCAGGAGGACCTGAGTTCAAATCTGGCCTCAGATACTTACTAGCTGTGTGACTCTGGACAAGTCACTTAACCCTAAATTGCTTCCCTCCTCCCAAAATAAAGAAAAATCTTAAAAAATAATATTATTTTTAAATGCATTAAATATTATTTGTTTTGTTTTGGCAAGGCAATTGGGGTTAAGTGACTAGCCCAGGGTCACACAGCTAGTGAGTGTTATGTGTCTGAAGCCAAATTTGAACTCAGGTCCTCCTGACTCCTGGGCTGGTGCTCTATCCACTGCGCCACCTAGCTGCCCCTTAAATGCATAAAATAAAACACATAGGATTAGAAAGGAAACTATTATATGACAAAAGCAACCAGAGTCCAAGAATACAAGCAGTATTCCATACCGAAAGCCCTCCACCTGTACTAAGAAGGAAGGGAAGGAGGGCCTACTGGATAAAAACGAAGACAAGCTTGGATGACTTCTCCAAGGTGTCTTGAGGAAGAAGCAGATGTTTCTTTTGCTACATAGAAGGTTTATGCTCTCAATGAACTCAAAATAGAGAGAATCATATCCTGGCCAAAGACTAGATGATCAGGGACGGGGAATTTGAGGTCTCAAGGCCACACGTGGCCCACGTGTGGCCCTTTTACTGAATTCAAACTTCAAGGCACAAATCCCCTTAATAGAAGGATTTGTTCTATAAAACTTGGACTCGATTAAAAGGCAGCACCTGAGGACCTAGAAGAGCACGTGTGGTCTCAAGGCTTCAGGTTCCTCACCCCTGGACTAGACCATCCCCCTGATATCTTTACCACTGAAAATATATAGCACTTGAAATAGTTTTAACCACGGGCACCACCCACAAAAACAACCACGTATTATGCTGTAGAGGATGAGGGAGAGAGATAGAAAAGTTAGATAAGACTGGCCCAGCCCTCAGTGACCACACAGTCAGGTAAAGAAATAAGCCACCAATAATCAATGCAACCCCATCATCAGCTACAACCCCATCCGCTGTACACTAACACACAAAACTTACCACTTCCTGGGAATTTCCAACAAAACCTAGCCTAGACAGGCCTTGGCAGAGTGGCAGATGCCCCATAAATATCTCCTGACTTGACAGAGAAGCCAATTCTAGATTCTCTTAGTGAACAAATGAGTAGAACAAAGATTGTGGCCCAAAACATGGCACACCCTTATTCCAATTAGCAATCAATCAATCAACAAACAAGTACTGTCTTAAGAATCATCTCTGGGCTAAGCCCTAGGGACACAGTGAAAAATCAATCCCTACCTTCAAAAAATTTACTCGGGAATATAAGAGTGGGTACCCACATTCAAAACAGTACCATATCACACCTATCAGATTGGCTAGCATGACAAAACAGAAAAATGATAAATTTTGGAGAAGATGTGGGAAAATTGCAACACTAAAGCATTGTTGGTGGAATTGTGAACTGATCCAACCATTCTGGAGAGCAATTTGGAACTATGCCCAAATGGCTATAAAAATGTGCATACCCTTTGACCCAGCAATACCACTTCTAGGGCAGTACCCCAAAGAGAGCATAAAAATGGGAAAGGGACCCACATGTACAAAACTATTTATAGCACCTCTTTTTTGGTGGCAAAGAACTGGAAATTCAGCGGATGCCCATCAATTGGGGAATGGCTGAATAAGTTGTGGCATATGAATGTAATGGAATACTATTGTGCTATAAGAAATGATGAGCAAGCAGACTTCAGAAAAAACTGGAAAGATTTGTATGGACTGATGCTGAGTGAAGTGAGCAGAACCAGGAGAACATTGTACACAGTAACAGCCACATTATGCAATGACCAACTTTGATAGACTTAGCTCTTCTCAGCAATGCAAGGATCTAAGACATCTCCCAAAGTCTCATAATGGAAAATGCTATCCACATCCAGAGAAAGAACTCTGGAGTCTGAATGCAGATCGAAGCATATTATTTGCTCTTTTTTTTCCTTCTGTTTTGTTTTGTTTCTTTTTTCTTGTGGTTCCTCCTATTGGTTCTAATTCTTCTTTACAACATGACTAATGTGAAAATATGTTTAATAGGAATGTATATGTAGAGCCTATATCAGATTGCATGCCATATTAGGGAGGGGGAAGGGGATGGAGGAGGACAAAATTAAAAACTCAGAAGCTTATGGAAGTGAATACTGAAAACTAAAAATAAATTAATTAATAAAAAAGAGAGAGATAGTACTTATATT